AGAAAAGTACGATAAAAGTTCAGTGAACTCGATTTTCAGCAAAAACTTGTAAACTATTAAAATTGGTGTTTGGACACGAATTTTTACTGAAACAATTGAAAACCCTTTAATCACTTTTTTTTGTTATCTTAAACTGACTAAACCATCATTTAATTATAAACCAAGTTAGTCTTTTAACCACTTTTATATCATTTCAGGCTAACTATTGATTCTCCTGTTTAATTCAGCTTCAAACGTGGTTCATCATTATCATTGCTATTAGTGTATATTCAAAGTTATTAATAATCTCGCTTCTTATTATTGTTTCATTACTTGAACCACTCTTTTGGTCAGTTAAATATACTGAATGCTTTGGGTTAATTTTTAATTAACGAATTGCATGATTTTTACTAATTTTCAATATTTTTCATGTTCTGATCAATACTGAAAGGTTTGATTAGGAAAAGGAAAAATAAAAATGAAAAAATTCCAATGAAAAAAACATTCGTTTCAGGCTCAATATGCAATAATGGTTAGTGTTGTATGTTTTCAAGTTTGTTGATGTTAATTGTTGACTATTTAAATGTTCATCTAAATTTAACCATTTTAAGGTAATTGTTAGCAATTTAACTTGTTCACTTTGACAATATTCATGCCATTAGTTTGAATGGTTGACTGTTGAAGGTTCAAATTGTTGTCACAATTAAAGTATCCATTTAAATTGTTCGTGAAAAAAAGGTTGTTTCATCTTTCTTTTTGTCTCTTCTTGTCATCTTCATCTTCTCATATTAGTCTTCTCATCTTCAACAGGGTGAGAAAAGGAAACTGAATTTCACTTCTCATCACTCTGTCATCTTGCGATCATCATGTAAAAAGCTGACTTTTTAAGTGATTTCCTTCTTAAGTGTGTGTGTGGGTTTGGTCTTAATCTGCAAAACAAACAACGCTTAAGGCCCAAGTTGAAAGCCTTTTCTTGAACTAATTACACCAACTTTGAGACAAAAAAGGGTAAGACAATTGTCTTAACTCATAGAATCAATTGAATTATTACAATTGATATTACAATACAAATTATTATTAATACAATCTATTAAGGATCAGGCATCATCCTGGTACAGAAATTCAAATTCATGTTGATTAATATTTTAATGGATGCGAACACTAGCTTCAACATGACCGGGATCAGTATATTGATCTAATTAAAATTGTTTGATAGCGTTTATAAAAGCATGATGCTTTAGCATCTAACAATTTATATAATTTTGAATTGAATTCTTTAAATTAAGAGAAGCATATTGTCTCAAGTTGGTGTAATTAGTTCAAGAAAAGGCTTTCACTTTGACCCTAAACATTGTTTGTTTTGCAGATTAAGACTATACCTGTGTGTGTGTTTCCTTAATTTCATATTCAGGTTAACATTTTTCTTCTTATTCTTGTTCAATTTTTCTTCATTCTAAATATTTTTCTTTGCTTTTTATTCTCTTTTCAGATGCTGCTTCAAATTTACTGTCGATAGATAAAAAGGGGAGAAGAAAGACAGACAAATAGTGGAGATCTGGTGAAAACTCTTTTAATATTGGGACCAAGAATTTTCTGGTCAATCCTGTAATAAGACAGAATTAACTGCAGAAAAGTCTGACTGTCCTTCAAATTATTGCTCAAAACCAGAGGAAGCTCAAGAAACAAGTGACCGGCGTAAAGAGGAGCAACAAATTAATGATCAGCTGTTAACTAAATCCATAACAGGCTCATTTAATGGATCTGCTAACCTACAAACAACCAATGATATTTCAATTATGCAAGATAGTACCGATCTTCATTGGTTTAATGAGGAAACCTATCAAAGGTTAGTCGAAAAATTCAGCAAAAATGTTTCATTCGATCGGAAAATTTAATCATCTTTCAGATTGATAAAGATGACAAAAAGCTTTAACAGTAAAACATGAATTGATTTTGCATATTAAATTGTTTAACTAACTCTTCTTCTTCTCTTTTCTTCATTTTTTAGTGAAAAAGTCCCACTCGTTGAAAACATGCCAATAATAATTGAATCTTCAAGCGGCGAGTCATCAAATCGTGATTTAAATCGATATCATGCTTTATCCCGAAATATTGATGCCACTTTAGCCCAGATTGATATGGAAACCTTTCGAAGTGAAGACATTAATCACATTTATTCAACTCTACCTGAGCTTGACTCTTCATGTGGTCCAGTTGTTGAAGACGGCGGAGAAGAGTTTGCCTCAGTATCAGGTTCCCTTTTGGACGAGATCACTACTGATAGCCATTATTTAAGGTGAAACATTTTCACGCCAATCAACTGATAAACTCATCCCTGTACACCATGTTTTATTACTGCATGATTTTGCTCAGAATGCTTCCAATGTCTAACCATACATCATACTAACCATCCCACTTGTTTCCTTCCTATTTTGTTTATTTTGTTTTTCATGCATTTTATGTCTTCTTCGTTTTCCCTTTTTACTTTATTGCCTTGTTTTCATTATCATTATCATCATCAATAACATCAACTCTCTCTTTCTCTCTTCTTCCCTTTCCTCTTCGTGACTCCTATTTCCAATCAGCTCCAAGAGATTTAACAGTCATGGCATTGACTTAAATGGTTCTAGTTCTATTTTTGATTCCTCTATGATTGACGAGACTTCAAAAGCATTATCCTCGGCAACAATGCGAAGTGAACGCTTACCCGGTCTTTATTCAAGATCTCGTATGA